GTAGTAGTAGTAGTAGTAGTAGTAGTAGTAGTAGTAGTAGTAGTAGTAGTAGTAGTAGTAGTAGTAGTAGTAGTAGTAGTAGTAGTAGTAGTAGTCATATCCCACCATCCCCTCCACTGCCACCTAAATCCTTACTAGTACAAGCTTACCATTTACTGCTGCTTCCTACATCTGTCTGACATCCGGATGCCGTAAACAGAAAAAAAGGCTAGGGCAGACACAGCTGTACTAATACTATATTTGTGTCTAGTGCTGCTAATTAACTAGTAACAGTCAGTCTTATAGATACACTCGGTTACCTTACGCGAGGATTGCTTTGCAAGTTATGCATGAGCGCTTGCTCGTATAGGAGGTAAGTAGGTTTGTTTGTCTTCGGCTGGGGCTGCAATCGAGCTTTGAGTACTTATATTTTTAGGGTACATTGTATAACTAGAAGTGTAGGTAGAAAAGATAGATGGATATGAACTGTACAATGAGGAGTGTATACAATACTACTATTGTCTTGGGGGGTGGATGACTATCATAGTGGACTTAACTAATATGTATTCTGTTTGTTAGTATGTCAGTACCGCACGCCAGTCAATTACATGAGCTTAACAAGACACCCCTCACTTATAAGTTGGACAATTAATGTGATGGAACGAAAATGACTTAATAATCCGTATTCAAGAGTATATCCCTTTTCCCTGGGTAATAGCGAAATAGAAAGAAAATAAATAAAACCTAAACCTCGCACACGAAAACACAACCGGGAGCATCTTCCATGGGTATGAAGTTCAAGGATTCTTCGTAATCACGTAACAAGATAAGATGATAATGTGTGGTCGGGTTAGAACCATCTGAGAATGAAAGAAAAGTTGTAGAAGAAATAAAAAGTAGAAAGTGGTAGGTCTGAACGAAAGTGAAACCCGCCGTCATGAGGCAATCAATCAATCACCGATCCAATCCGTCTCCCTGTATCTCAACGCCAAAACCCTGTTCTATTGAGGAATCGAAATCATGAGGAAGCCTGCTGCACCCGTTGCCTCGGATTTCGGGTAGAATGGAAAGAAATATCGCCTGTTAAATGATAAAGATGGGGAAAGGAAAGAAGAAAAAAATTGGGTGAAAGGATATAGCACCCGAGCTAAGAATGAAGGATAATATGGGAGGGCAAGCGAGCATCACCGAGACACGCATTGTCATGCCCTCCAATCGTTTTCTCGATAGCCAGATTCTGCAGGGTTCACTCCTAACATCTGGCCCGAATTGTTCACATCGTACATGTTACTCGGGCCTCCGTAGCTCCCGCTGATGCCAGAGACACTACTGAGGCCGGATTCGTCATCATCAAATCCAAACTCTCCGCCGGAACTGGCGTCGAAACTGCTGCGACCTCCTATGTCACTGGGATCGTCTGCGGTGGCAGGGATTTGATCCCACTGCAAGGTCTGCAGCGCGGGGTATTGGGCCAGCAACGCGGCAGGGAGAACGAAATTGCTGGTATGTTGGCCATCCATTCCTGGCACCATCAACGGAGGTGGTATAGGCTGCAGGTGCTGTTGCTGATCCATCATCGTGCGCTCCCGCTCTTGGGACTCTTCATCCAACAATGGCTTGATACAAATCCGACCAGCTTCGGAACGGAAATGACGACCCAGAGCATCCGCACGAGCAAATCGCCGACCACATCCCCACTGTCCACCACGCGAGAGGTCACCGCGACAGACGAACTTCTTTTCGCCCGAGTGCAGCCCCTCGTGACGCTTTCGATCATGCTGTCGCGCAAAAGCTTTTCCGCAGACAGTGCATACGAAAGGCCGCTCGTCCGTGTGAGTACGCAAATGAGATCGTAAGTTGTAGGCTCGCGTGAAGCGCTTGGGGCACAGGTGACACTGGAACGTGGCCGGGTGTTTCTGGACACGTTTGGAGTCGTTAGGGTTGCCCCCAGGCCTCTGAGGATCCGCAAGACCGAGAATGTAATTTCTACTGTCGATGGACGACGTGGACAGTCGCCGACCCGATCGCGAGGGGGACGGCTCTCGGGAGCTGGGATTACTATGTGGCTGTCCCCTCATGGTATCAAAAGGCGACAGCGACCGGGGTGACGGAGGCACAAACGGCTCCAGGCTGGTCGAAGTAGAAGATGACCGTGCGCGAGAAGCAGGATGGGCATACGGGTCCGACTTACTACGCATGCGGGAGCCTATAAGCTCGCAGTTAGCATTGTGCGAGGGAATGCAAAGAATAGGCCAAGCAGTGACAACTTACGCATGGCAACGGGTGGACTCAAGGAGTCCAAGTCCGCACTGGGCTTCGTCTGCGGGAGGTTGAGATTCTTCGCCGGGGGTGCGAATTCCACGTTAATAGATGGGGGCGCCATTTGCGATGCTTGGCCTATATCCCCCATGCCACCGTTTCCTTGGATCATCATACCCTCCCCGTACATGTCGGTCGGTGGGGTTGGGTACTGTGTGTTGCCCGCAGGAGCAGAGATGTATGGCACGTTGGGAATCATGTCTGTGGGCTGTTGAGGCATCAACTGCGGAGAGATATATGGACTGTGGGCGGGGCTGATGCCCTGTGAGTGGTGCTGTTGCTGACCATCAGACAAAGTGAAAGATTCAATGCCCAGTGCATTGTCGTAGAGACCGGGGTCATGCTGGGGCGCTAGTAGTGGGGAGGGGTTGTTCTCCACGCCATCGAAAGATTCATGCTGGGACATGTATGGAGATGGGGCAGCGGATGACACCTCAGACACCTCAGATGGGGCCCGTCGATGGCCCTGGAAGGCGGAGTTGGCCATGACTGCCTGCCAATCCGTATGCACATTGCCCGACATGTATGCAGCGCTGGCAGGATCCAAGGAAGTATGGCGGGAATGTTGCGGGGTGTAGTAAGTCCCCGGCGTCGAGTTGGGCGGCGACATGGGCCCGGGAGATGAGTGCTGGTAATGGTCCTGGGGGGAGATCGGGGACAATTGCGGAGAAGCCGAAGGATGAGGAGAGGGTATTTGGCTAACGAGGTCGGCGGGGTTTACTGCTTGACTTCCCGGTCGGGACTGACCGTGAACTTGGGGGTCTAGCAGGAGCGGGGAGTCGTAGTCCGGGGCGGCCGTGCTGTTCGGACTAGGGTTCTGATAGAGGGCAAAGTCGAAATCTGAGGGGTTCGAGTTCAGAAGATTAGAGAAGTTCTCGTCTGACGCTTGTTGTTGCTGCTGCTGCTGTTGTTGCTGCAAGGACAGGCCCGTCGACTGGTCCAGCTGGGGCATCAACCCAGCATCGAAGGATTGTGGCAGTTGAAGGCTGTGGGAGTATGTGTGATCGGTCGGGGCCAGCGTCTGCGCGGCGGAGGGTGCGGAGAGATAACCGGTGGGGTTATAGCCGTAGGAATCAGAAGCGCCTGGATTGGAGGGGTTGTAGGAAGTCGAGGTATAAGGAGCTGTAGTGGTTGCGACGGAGACATCCAAGGTCAGACCGGCGGAGGGATCATTATATGGACTGATACTGCGGCTCCTCATCCCAGCGGGCGACTGCCCCGAGTCGGGCAGGTTGTCCTGGGATGCCATGACGAGAGGATGAGCCAAAAATAGATCCCACGCGATGAGCAAGGCTTAGTCGAGTTGGAAGGTAAGGTCCGGTCCAATCTCACAGCTAACGGCGAAGCTGAAGAAACGCGGGGAAGGCCGAGTCAGAAATGCCGCAGGGAGGGAAGTGGGCGTGGAGGAGGGCTAGGAGGGGGAGGTAGTAGGAAGGAATCGGGCACGAGTTAGTGGATGACGTCCAGCACGGCACAGCAATGGAAAATTGGCGTGCAGAAAGGCGGACACGAGCGATCAGAAGAAGGGAAGAGAGGGAGAGAGAAAGAAGCAAATGAGGGAAAGGGGGGTGGGTTGTGGTGGGAGAGGGAGAGGGAGAGTTGAGTGAGAAAGAGAGAGTAAGGCAGACGGCCTTGCGACGATTCAGCCTCGCGGCGCGCAGTCGGTCTGGAGGGGGAAAGTCGTTGCACACATTCTCGGGCGCCAACAAGCGCCGGGGAAGATGCCGGCAGAGGACGATCCTCAGCCGCTGACCAGGTACGAGGGAGATGGATGCAGACTCAATGAGACACAACACACACGCGCGCACACAGAGATAGACAAGGGTGAAACAGGAAAGAAGATCGAAACTCGAAAAGGATGATGATGAAACTGAGCTGACGGTCCAAGAAGGAAGTCCAAGGCAGAAACTCGTCCAGATTCCCGATGCCTGATTCCCGGGGGCACGTGCAAAAGCAAGTATTCCTCAGGCCAGACAGTCTGCCTCTCAAAAAGAAAAAACAATTATTAAACTACCTGTCAATTTAATGGATTTTAGTTTAGTTTCTACTGATGCCGGGGGGTCTATTTTATATGATTTCAGTACAATAAGGGCCTGTGAATTCCGTCTTCCAGTAAGTTTTATTGGTTTTAGTATAGTCGCCTAATCTACAATTGTATACTACAGACAGTAAAAACTGCCTGCCTAGCAGTGCAATACAGAAGAGCCCTCCCTTGCTACTGTTAACCGTGTCTCCTCCAAATCTATCCCCGACTGGAGGAATCTCCGCCTGGTGCACTGGGCTACATCTACCATAAGGGATCAATCACCTCAATAGATATTCATCAATCACCATCCCCAGAGAACATTGCACTTTAGTGCCAGCTTACTCTACCATGTAAATGCTTCAACTCACATACCCATGCTTTCCCATCTAAAAAACATATTCACCCGCTCCACCGGTCCTCCTTCCATTCTCCTTCTTATTGGCAACTTCGGAGCCATGATCCACGTTCTTCATCTCCTACCCGAGGACGGCACCATTCAACGCTTCGGCCTCACCACCCGATCTACCCCCTTCCGCTACCGCGGGTCCAGAGAGCAGACACGCGAACAGATCGGCACAGTCACACTCCATGTTGGAGATGGCGAAACTCCCAACAGCTTCCTCGACGACGTTGAGACACGGTTCCGTAAGCTGCGGGATAAAGAGCTGCAGAGAAGCAGTATCGAGGTGACTCAGCTAGTGCAAGACGTCCTCAAGCCCGCGGCACTCGAAGCGATTCATGGAAGAAAGGATCGAGAGTGCTCTATGCACGCAACGCAGACGTATCCTGTTTATGTTGTTTACATTCTACGCCCGAGGTCAGGGAGGAGCATGACTGAGTTGACGAGCTTTCCTTGATGAGTTCTATTACTTCTTGTGCATGCTCATGAGATGTGTTGTAGTTGTGGTGTTTTGATATACTATCATATCTATCACAGTAATAAATTGATACAATTTGTGAATACTGCCTAGAAAGAAGGGAGAATGAATAGTATCTCTCCCCAATCTATCCCCCACTTGACCAGAAAAGTGGTAAGAATAGCATATCATCATCATGCGGGATTAATCCCTCAGTGGAATTTCATCCAATGAATGGGGAAAGAGAAAGAGTGTATGTTGATCCGACAAGGCAGACTGCAGGATCCACACTGAGATGAGAACGAAGGGTGAAACCACAAACACAAACAAGAAACCGTTGACGTAGCCTACAGCCGAGTTAACCTGTACGGTGCTGGTCTCGAGAAAAAAAAGGGTCCAAAGCAAGAATAACTGAAGAAATGATTGATACATCACAGCCTGTCACGATAACTAGTTTGTTCATGTTGATGAGGGCCGGCTGATCTAATCGGGTAGGAGATGTAAGTTAACTAACTAGTTAGGGATAACTAAAAATAGCCTGTCTATCTCACTCTGATCAAGTTGATCAACAAGAATCGAAAGTCAAAAAAAGAAGATGATGAAAATAAGAGGAAACAAGGGTGTATGATTGGGATCATGACCTGACAGGCTGCAGCAAGGATGATGAATTCCCTCTTCAATGCCCTAATTAGACACTCCATTAATACTTACTCCATATCCGAGAGTTCTTATCTCCCCAGCGTCATGCAGGTCGGAAAAACATCATCATCCTGTCAAGGATCATTTACTTCAAATAGTAGTACTCCGTAGTACAGTAAGAGTGATATTACCAAAATATCCCGCACTGATCCCCTCGTATTACGATAATCATTGATTATTTCCGATAGATCCATCCTCTAACTTACTCCGTAGATAACTTTTTCTCTTCAGGAAGAACCTGTCAGCCTTAACCCCCTCCCTCCTCCCCCTATCTCGGTTGCACACACAACAGACACACAACACACACATTCTTCATCTCTCCTGTCGACAAGCTGTCAGGGTTTAAATTTCCTGGCCCTGATTTAGATCCTAGATAGATAAGCCAAACCATGCCATTTGCAGCTTGAAACACCGCTGATCCCAACTGGATCGCTGGTTTGCACAGCCACCTTGGTCTGCTGCCCCCCTCAATCTGCAGGTCCACGGTTCAACCGCAGGCTTCATCATTTCGGTGTGTGGGTGTTTTGTGCGCGCGCGGCCCGGTAGTGTCGCTTTCTTGATGGGATCTACATGAGTTATTTCCCTAATCGGTTGTGCTTTTCTATCTAGTTTTGTTTATCTGTCTTGTTCTGAAACTTGTCTCTACCGTACAGGTGATGCAGGTGATGCAGGTAGCAGAATTGAGTAACAGAGCTACTGACTGATTGTTGATCAATTATTAACATATACGTACTGCTAGTCACACACACGCACACATACGCTGGAACATCACTTCTTAATACAATACACAATAGCTGAGAAAAAATCAGAGGTCCTCAAACACAGTGACACTCTCCAACACTTCATCCGTGTTAATATCCACCATCAAGTTATCCGCGCAGCTGGATCCCAGGGCGGCATTGTCGATCCATGCCGGTTCCCAGTAATAAATGCCCAGTCCATCCGTGACGCCCTCGACCACTTCTGCCAGCTTCTCCAGGAACTCCTCCTGGCCTGCAGCCGAAAAGGGGATCGAGCTGAGATCCGACGGAAATGAATACTCGGGGTCCGGGCACGACACGGGCCAGTTCGTCTCCACCACCACGACGGACTTATCGTAGTTTGATTGCATGTTCGTAAGGCTGGTCTTGAGCGCCGACAGGGTTGCTTCCGAGCTGTAGAACGGGTAGTACGAGACTCCCATGAGGTCGAAATCCGTGGAGAGCAGCGACCCCGTGGCCAGGACGGTCTCGTAGAAGTATTCCTGCTCCTCCCAGTCCCATCCATTGTCCAGGTGGATCATAATCTTCGGGGTCGTGGTCAGGTCGGAGTCCTTCACTCCCCAGGCTCCGGAGTGCAGAAGCTTCGCGATGTTGTCATAGTTGCTGGTCTTGCCCAGTGGCCAAAGAAGGCCGCTGCTGATCTCGTTGCCAATGGAGACAATTTCGATGTCAATGTCATTCTCCGCGAAGGTGTTGCAGACGTCGAGCGTGTAGTTATATAGTTGCCAGGTGAGTGTGTCGATGTCCGTAGTCGACCAACCGGTAGGGGTAGTCTATACACAACTCTTATGTTAGTGTCCCATCTTCCTCGACACACGTCTTTCCAGCAGTAGAACCGACCTGATCACTAGGGTCTGCCCACGTATCACTCAGATGCAGATCCAAGTAAATGCTCATACCCGCGGCCTGGACACGCTTGGCCAGCTTCAGGTTATAGTCAAGATCGTACGATCCATCGCTGGGATCTACCCACACCCTCTGTCGGATCGAGTTGACACCATTGTTGACCAGAATATCCTCCAATGCCTGGGTCTCGCCATTCAAGTTCTTATAGCTGATGCCAGCATCTTCCTCGATCAAAAGAGAGGAGATATCCGCCCCGCGGTAGGTCAGGGCGGCGCTGCTGAGCAGAGGCAATGCAGAAAGAAATAGAGGGTAGATCATCATGGCTGTCATCGAAGCTCGCCTGTAATGAGCCTGGTTATCACTCTCACGGTTGGATCCAGCGGTACGAGTCAGTCAATCCCGGCATCAAAGCCCCTTTTAAAAGACATCGTCGACTGGCTTCTTTGAGACATTCCTTGTCCACCGGATCCGTCTTGCAAATGACACGGAGAAGGCAAAGGATAACGTCTGCCCATATAGATTAAACACCACCGGAGTTCTCCACGATTTAATCAATGCAGGACGGCAGTCAGCGTCAGGTCATGCATCGCGAGACACCAAGTGTTTCCAATCTGCCAAGCCATTGGTGGAGGAACATGACACCGTCTGTGCAGATCGGCCGGTGGCACGCCCGAGCCCATTCAGCATGCGTACCGTGGGCTCCCTGTCTCCATACTTAGGCGAGAAGTCGGATTCAACTTGCGGTAAACCCATATCTTCCGAGGTCAGATGGTCGCCCAGACTCCCTTGCAGCCACATGGGCACATACGACGACTTCTCGGTGTACTCCAAATCTAGTTTAGGAGACGCTCTCAGACCTCCTCCCTAAGCTTCTACGGACTCGTGGTTCTGCTTGGCCGGTTTCACCTTTCATCCGGCTTCCCCCGGTGGAGGAAGTATCGGCACACTAGGTTAAATGGTGACCCGCTTTTCCCATGTGCGGCAGAAAGGCACTGGCGCACCCAAGTGGATCGTGAACGTGTGAGTGTCTCTCTCTCTGTGTATATTGTTGTTCTCTTCATCATCTCTCGCGACTTGGTCATCAACATCGTGTCCTTCCATGGCAACCCTTCCCCAAAGCAAAATCCTACTCCCGCTGCCTCCAGCTATCCAAAGCCAACAAAAAGAAAAGAAGGAGAGACAGGTACATTGTATAGCCTGACCCTTCCTCAAAGCATCATTACATACACGCAATCACAGACCCCAGGCCCCAATGCAGCAAACAGACCAGTATATATAGACGCAGAATGAACCCCAGCATCATCCGAATGCAAGCCAATGGATGAAGATAACCGAATCAAGAGGACCAAATATGAACGTGCCGCCAATGCAAATATATGTACAAGCAATGTATCTGTGTCTCAACAGATGTGGAACCCTAGGGAAGTTTCCTGTATGCCAGCAAAAGGGACGCAACCAGCCAGAAAGAAGAAAAGAATGTGGGGGGGGGGAGAAGCGAAACGAATAGAAAAGGAAGATTTCCCCCCACTGATTGAATAAATGATATACACGCAGAATTAAACTCCAACAAGATAATTATCATGGTGATTGAACAAAGCCGCGTGACCACCCAGAAAAAGTCAGACATGATATGATGGTAGTAGTGTCATGATCGGTAAAGGAGAAGCAAATGCAAACATCATGTAACGGTGAAAGAAACTTTTGATGTCCCTTGCTTATATGTCGACAGAAGACCCCGGAAAGGACATGTGTGTATAGTTATCATGACTTCGACTGTCCAGGGCGGATGATCGGCTTCTGAGGGGTTGCCCTCTTTTTGCCAATAACAAGTCCTTCATCTTCCGAGTCGTCACCAGATTCTTCTTCGTCATCGCAGTAGTAGCGACACTCATCATCTTCTGCGGGTCGTGGAGGACAGGGATGCCGGGCTTTGACTGTTTCACCAGTGCGAAGAATCGAAGGAACCTGAACGGCTGATTCAGCATCATTCTCCTTGAAGCCACTCTCACCAGAGAGAGACGACGCTCCTGACACCACAGACGGGATGCTGGGGTGAGAAGTGCTCTGGGACATGCCGCTAGTATACTCGTCAATTGATGAAGAGGATATTGTAGCTGCCGATGGCGGCGAAGTCGTCAGTCCTCCTGAAAGAGGATCCCCAGAGGACTGGTCATTCGACGAGTCTGAGACTTGCGGGTGATTCTCAATCCGCAGGCCCGTGTAGTCACCGGAGCATGGCTCGCTGTCGCCACGATTGCCGTCTGCATCACCAACGGGCCCGAGGTCGCTCCTCCTCTTCCGTAATAAGGCCTCCTTGGTTAGGTGGAATGGCTCGGCGGAATGCTTGCCTGGAAGCTGGTGGGATCGGTTTCGCCGATGGCTGGAAGTTCTACCAAGGGAGCCATCGGGAGGAGTCAAGAGCGGCTCCTCGTTCGATAACAAGTTGCAATTCTGCATTTGACCAACAGCAGAGGCAACACTCAAAGCCAAGCTGGGCTCCGAGTGGCGGTCACCGTCCAAAGACGCGGTCTCGCCCGAGACAGACCGATCGGACCGCCAATCCCCAGGTTGCAGGCCTCGTGCAAGGCGACGGCTCGCGCCACCAAAAAGGCCACCAATGTTCGTGGTCCCAGACGGTTCCACACGGACGGGGGTACCAGCACGCTGGGGTACTGATACTCTTTTGTGGTCCGATGGTTTCACGGTCTTGGCAGATTCAGCAGTAGACAATGTGGACGTTGTGCGCTCGGGAGGATCTGGGCGCGTAGATTGGTCCTGCACTGGCATAAAATCGGACGAAGCGAAGTAAGACGGCTGATCTTCTCGGCCCACGGGACTTGCGGTGACACTCTGCGAAAGCGGATGCTCGCCTTCCCTGGGTAAGCGGAGAGAGCGTGGAAATTCTTCATCTCCCCTAAGGCTGTGCCGCCGATTGTCCCAAAGGTACTTCCCAAAGGCAGTGCTGCTTGTAGTTGACGATGACTCGACCGAAGGAGAATTGCTAGGAGTCCGCTTGCGACCATCCTTCTCTTTCGACCTTCCAGTCAGATAGTTAGACCACTTAGCAACGTTGGATCGCACACGCTGAATGAATGGTACTTTGCTGACAGCACTAGTCACTTCTTCGGTGGATACTTCGATCCTCTTTCCCTTGCTTTGATACCCTGGGTCCGTCTCTTCCACCCATGCTCTGGGGTTAGGAAGGCCATGCAGAACCCAAGGATGGTGTTTGATCTCCTTCACGGTGATCCGTTTGACCGGATCCTTGGTCAGCAGCCGCTTTAACAGATCATACAATTCGTCGTCAATGTCCTCGTACACCAGCTCGTCTTCCATCCGTTTGCTGCCGTCACTGTAGCGAGGCCACTGACTGACGGTGTCGGGATCGTCTTCCACGGGCTGTAATCGCTTTCGGGGAATGAAGACTTCCTTCCGCACAATAGTCTGGAACATGCTGTATTCGTCATCGGAAACGAATGGTAGGCGCCCGAAGATCATGCCGTAGAGGGTAACACCCAGAGACCAAACATCAATAGCGCCGGTGATCCGAGGGGCGGCGCCGAGCACGTCCACGAAATCATCGCCTGTATAGCACAACTCAGGGGCATAAAAAGCCGGTGTCCCGACCGTCTTAGACAGCTCGCGAGCATCATCCAACTCGGTGGCATCCGTCTCCTCCACCTGCTCCTCTTCCTCGTCTCGAATGGGCCGTCCCAAGTACGAGACGCCAAAATCTGAGATTTTCACACGATAGTTGCTGGTGACCAGAAGATTTGCGGGTTTGATGTCGCGATGGATGATGCCTTGGTAGTGAAGATATTCCAAACCTAGCAACGAATCGCGAAAGACATTACGCGCTTCGTTGAAAGTCAAGCAAGGCACATAGGTCATGTCGTCATCGTCGGTGAACCACTCCGGCTCAGAAGGTGCATAGCCGAAGCTGCTTGATGCGGTGCTGAACCGTCTTTCGAATGGGTAGTCCGCATAGGCGCCGTACATGCTGCCTTCTACTGCAGCCAGTGCCGACTCCTGACCCGACACATAAGACTGACTCGGAGAGGAGTGGGCATCATCGGTGCTCACCATAGACCGGCTGGGAACACGCGCAACCATAGGCTCGCCCCCCAGATCCTCATCGTCGTCTGACTCCGCACCATGCTCCAGACTCCAGGCAGGAATCGGAGCTTCTTGTGCATATGCCGCCTGTGCTTGGCGCCGTTCACGTGCCTTCTCGCGCTGCCGACGAAGGTGCTGGGCTGTCCTTACGTACTGTTGACTTTCTTCCATGAAAGACGGGGTATCAGGAATGCCCGCCTTCTCACGCTCCAGCCGGCGCTTATCGACGTGGACGATCTCTCGCAGCCCACGCTTGCGCCAGATGATTTCTCCGTTCTCCACATACTCGAGGACTATATAGACCTTTTGGCGATTCGGATCATCGATGACTTCTAACAGACTGACGACGTTAGGGTGCCGTGCCTTTTTCAGGATGGCAACCTCTTTCTTGACCTTATCCTCAGGGTTACCGAGTTTTCCGAGGCGGCGACGCTTTGAATAACGCTGAACGATTTTGATTGCAACCTTTTGTCGCGTTGTAACATGGCGGCCGAGCTTCACCTTTCCATGTTCACCGCGCCCGAGCTCCTCGAGGATCTCATACTGATTGATGAGCTTGTTTCCGGTCACAAGATCTCGATCCACCTCAGCGGTATGGGTTCTATCATCAAGATGGTCAGTCAACAGTCGAATTCTTTTGGCAGGACAGAGGATGTTAGTGCACTCGGTGGCACGTCAGACTTACTCTTTGGGGGGCTGGAGATGAGTGGGATGGAGATAGGGACTGCTGATGCGACCTTCGTCGTCGGACGCGAATGGAGGCGTCGAGCGAGGACTTCTGATGGAGAACAGGCCCGGGCTGGAGAGGGGGGTATTGCCCGCCGTGCGTGATGCACGCGACGGAGCAAATTTGGCCGCCTCAGTCCGGGACGGGTAAGAGCTTCGGGTGCGTAGGAACGGGGGTTGGTAGGTGGGGTGGATTTGGGACTGAAGGACGGCGTAGGATTGGTCGGGATAGACGGGATAGTCTGCGGAATGAGTCTCAGAGGGGCCCATGTGGGCGACCCTCCGAGAAGAGATGGAGCTCCGGCCGATAGCGCTATGATCCGACCGCGCATCGACGACGGTGTCCTCGTTCAATGCCTGAAGCGAGCTCGAAGAAGTACGAGTGGAGGGTGACCTGGATGTACTGGATGAATGGTACAGATGGGGAAACGGGTGTCGAAGAGAGGTCTGTCCATCTGAAAAATCGCCCTGCAGGGGAAGCTTCGCATTCGGTGGCTTGGTGACAGTCTGCTTGATATCTGCCTCTATCGGTGCCGGTAACGAAGAATCCTCGATGGACTTGTCCGAACTCCGCCTGCGAACATGGTCTGAGGTCTGGCCATTCCGGATAGCCAGAATGACGGGCTCCTCCAGGCCAGGAACTGAAGGCGGACGGTCCATTTTCATGTCTTTGAATCAGCGAACTCTTTCCGAGTTACAACTGGGCATCCTCCCCTTCCTAGGCCTTATTTCCTGGGGTTCCGTTGGTGGCCCTGTCCGTACAATATATTTCCTTCTCCGGTCCGGTTGATCTTCCCATAGAAACCGCTTGATTCAGGGCGAGCTGACGTGAAGCTCGGTGGATGCGCACGAGTAGACCGGCATTACTCTCAGAGCTCGACTCGGAAAGGCGTATAAACAGGCATGCAGAGTGACCTGGGGGATAAACCGTGTACCGGACAGCGGCGATAACGAGATCGGAGACTCCGAGCGACCGAACTGCTACAGCGCCAGGATGCAGCTGATGATCGATTGGGGCGCTCGGAGACGTGAGGGTGGAACGAGGTTGAGCCGGAGATGTTCGCAGATCGGTCGGAGAAGAGACCCTTTAAAATAGGGCAGGACCAGAGCCAAGAGAGTGTCTAAGTATAGTAACAAAAGACACGACGGTGTAATAACCGTTATATAGCAAGGGGGGAGCCGTCCGAAGTTGATAGGAAACAGACAAGAAGGAAAGAAAGTGCAAATAATTATACTGGCGATGAAAGGAATTAGAAGAAAAGAAAAGAAAAGAAAAAAAAAAAGGGTATAGGGAGAAGGTAAAAAGGAGGGGTAGGTATCCGTAAGTATTGGAAGGTTTAATGAAGAAGAGAAATAGTGGAACGAAGTGGAAGAGGGAAAGAAAGAGGAGGGGGGGAGGAAGAGGGATTAAGGGGAGGTGATGGGTGGTGTTTAGAAGAGGGAAAAGGGACGGGGATGGAGAGAGTTGAGGGAGAAAGTGTAGAAAGACAGGACGAGGGAGAGGGAGAGGGAGGAGAGGAACCGCTGTGATGGCGGATCGTGAGTAATGAATAATGGGGGGGAAGAACGGCAGATGGAGGTGGTGGTTCACGGCGGTGGTGGCAGAAGGGTCAGTCAGGCTTTTGTCAGGCGGCTTGCCTTTTTGGGGTGGGGGGGAAAAGAACTGGAAAGAGGGAGAGAGAGATTGAGAGACTCTGAGTACTAGAGAGAGAGGGGAGGAGGGGACCGAATGAATACGTAGCAAAAGATGAACAGCACAGCGCAAACTGCAGTACTTACCAGTGGTGACTGGTAAATTGATTTACAATACCCCAATAATACCTAGTCAGAACTGGTTGGAAAACGACTTGGCAACTCCCGTCCAGGAGGGATTGATGATACTAAATAATGACGGGGGGGGTGAAACCAGAATACAGCAGTATATTAGGTACCATACTCCGTACGGCGTACCGACCTGCCCGTCGAAGGGGGACCGATGGAAACGTACCTAGATTATTCTGGATCCATCACCCAATAGCCGGTCGGTGGGGAGGTTGAGTCCCTCTTCCCGTTGTGCACGAGCATCATCATAATGCGATTCAGTCCGATACAATCCCCTAGTGCTTCCCGGGAAGATAATCTAAAAGATAATCAAATGTCCATTTCAATGATCTTTATTTCTTATTTACTTTTTTTTTTGTATTTCCCTAGTTGATTGTGGGTAGCTATAGTGGTGGATAATAAGAACATTACTAGCCAGTGAATGCTTTGAACAAGGCCATCTCGGCCGGCCATCCGGCCCTCCTTGGCGGTGGTTGGGACCTCCTCCAAGCCCATGGGCACCACTCCCGTAGGCTACGGACTTTAGCGTCCTGACCGGTAACGGGAGAGGATCCTCTTTAGCTATCTAAAGTATTCTCCATCGGGGGGCAAAATGGATGCTGCATCTTAGGCTGAATTCTACTTTAGCTTGGTTCATCTGTACTCCGTAAGTGTGAGAATTCAAGACGCGTGTCGACCATTCATGAGCCCGTTGACCATCCCTAATTTGACTGCATGAGGTACTAGTACTTGGATTATATTACTATGCCTTCTAGACTTCTTGTAACTAAACTGTTTAATAGATCTACGTAGTAGTACTTAAAGAGACAAGGAAAGTTTAATAAAATACGAAGAGAAATGAGTTCTGAGAGTAAACGCAATGAAGAAAAAAGATGAAAGAAAAAGATAGAAAATACTTTTTAGCCTGTGGCGTCAGTTCTCTCTATCTTGTCTTACGTAGAGGACTATTTCTCCGGCCATTTTGTCAACGGGTCATTGGCCCTTCTCCGCCCCTTGCTCTTCCCGTCATCCTATCGCAACTGTTCGTCGTGCCTGAACGGATCCTTCGTGCCACCCAACCTGAATACGGGTTCGCCAATGCCTACAGTACTGCGACTCGGTCTATACGTCCATCATCAGCCCCTACAAAATATGATGGATATATCGAACAATCAGTTAGACACAGATTGTAAAGGAATTGTGTGTGTCGTCACTGACACCTGTCAGTCTGGCTGGCCAGCGCGACCGGTATCGATCTGGATCTGCTTGTTCCGTGGGTCCAATGATGTCTATCACCAACTCTCTTTCGCCCCATCCATAGTCGTCCGTTCTAGTATCTTCCAAGTCTCTAACCACGCTCTCTCCCTGGGTCAATTCTCAAAAAGCTGAGCGTCATGATACAGTAGTGATCAAGAGGGCACTGACCACCATGTAATTTGGATCGACGGATTTCGGAGCGACCCTGCTTCCCTGGCACCCGTCTGAGCCCTTATAGGCCACCAGTGTTCACCCTACTGTATGTAGATAATGTTTGACTGCGGCCTCACCCTCCAATAAGCTCTCGGGGCCTACTCCTTTAGCTCCGCGCGGAGAGCTTGGACAAGGAGGTCTGTGTTCTCCCCGAGTTCAGTCTAACCAGCAGCCACACGAACACTCCTGGAGATGTCACTGTTGGGTGCTTTCCTGATGAGGCAGGAGGCGAGGCCGACACACGCAGAGAAACTCGTGGAAGAACGGTGGGGAGCTCTCAATAGAATTTCCATCAATCCATGAAGCACCGGTCGCTCCACCTTGAGCAAGGCCTCGATGGGTCTTCCAGCTTGGGTATACCTGGCGACCATCCCTGGATCTGAAACGACTGGTTATCCATCCCAGGGTTCACCTGTATACAAAACGGCCTGACGCCGGGCGCACGGCCATTGGTGCCATGCTCAAGGGTGGCCCAGTTCCGGTCAGGAGAATCCCCAACCATCTTGCGAATAGAAGTTCACTAGCCCATCAGAGACGGGAGGCCGTCGAATGAGTTTCCTACCTCTGATTTGCTCATGCATAGCAGCCTGACTCGTCCCCACGAGGAGTGGCTGCTTTAGCGGCAATCCGTCTTTTCCACCTGCTTTTGGCATGGAAGCCATGCCATTCTTGCTGGATTGAGTGCAGCTTGCTCCCTTGATGAAGATCTCTAATGGTCTACTAGAGGAACCTCGCCTGCACTTGGGGGCAGCATAGTGACAATTCTAGCCAGCAAGCGCTCTCCCGGAAAATGGCTTTCACGAGAGGCGGGGAATGCTTGGGCCGACCACTGGACGCATGGCGATACAACTCTCTCTGGATACCTCAGCTTAGACTGGTCTCAGAGTGACCTAGTATGCGATCTTCGAAGGCGTTTCATTGGATGGCGGGCTGCAGTGCGGGCATGCATCTGCATTCTTGCATTCTCATCGGGCTCCTCTGATTCCATTCGCTCACTGGCCCGTACCGACGTCATCGGAGCCCAACGCTGGCGAGCCACACGTAGGACGCCCCTGACTGTTTCTCTCGGTGTCTCAAGGACCACGGCGCGAATATTTCTCGGATCAAGATAGACATGCCCTTTCTTGGCATGTCATATAGGCAATGCACGCCGCCTTATGGGGGTTGCCTTCCGCATACTTTGGTATATACGGTGCGGTCGGTGGCCTACCGCGTTCACTTCATCAACCACTGCTTGAATGGGCACTTTGACACTCCTTGTGCACTAGACCAGCACATTGATCTGCACTCACCTGCTATCTAGTGGGATGCTGTTCTGGTTCAGCCATTGCCAAGTGGCTAGAGGGTCACTGGCTGGGAAGGGATAGACTAGTTCATAGTGACTACTTCGGACGGCCAGGAGCAATGTTGGCGCTACATCCCGCGACAGGGGTACATCTCCCACTCTGATCCTGTCTGGTGCCATGCCTCGTGGGTTATGGGCTTTGCGCTCCGTATCGCTCGTTTATTAATCTTGGTGGAGACGAGGTGCAGCTGTTGGCCCGTTCGCCCGTTCCCCAGACCTCGACTTCGATTGCGCGCGGGGTACAAGGCTCTTTGCTTTGACAGCTCGGCCCGTACTGGGTTCTGAGGCCGCTGCTGGGGGCATTTGCGCTGCCGTGGGGGTATAGAGACGCATGAAATCTATGTACTGCTCCGTCGATCTCGTGGCTGGTGGGTGCGCGGATCGAAGTCTACCCCAGGGATCTCCAGTGTCATATTCAACTAGCTTGGTGATAGCACGAGGTCTCGCATGTCTACTTACTGAATGGGTTGGTGTGCGTCGGGGTTGATTCTCTGCGGGGCTACTACGTGCCGTGTTTACGCGGCGTCTCTTTTTCTAGTATGTTCTCAATATGCTTCTGATAGTGGTTGGTGTGTTGCTTGGACTTTCATTTGTGTGTCTTTTGGGGGTATTCCTTGATTGCAGGAGCTGCTCTCATGCTCCGCTGTATATGTCGTTATCGTCTCGGGCTAGACGCCCAGGTGCATCGTTTCATATTATACCAACCATTGATCAAGTAATCGAAATTGGGTTACCCGGTTGGCACACTGCGTGTAATCTGGGGATACGTGAGGGGTAACAGATGTAGTACGTAGGCCATGCTTTCATCATACTACTGGATTGTAATCCGAACACGGAGATATATATCCGGTGTTAGGATGTCGAGAAAGACGAAATGAAGAATAGTACACACGCCAGTAGACCGAGAACAGTGATTAGAAACAACCAAGTCAAACAAGTCAGGATCACAATGCTACAACCAACACAAATAACACAAATGTAGTAAGTACATTGCCATCCTAACATCTACTCAACTCTTCTGCTCACACTAACCACTAGCCTAGTAAGCACAAATATTAAAATACGTAGGCTATATACCAAATCCCCGGTACCTCTATCACAACAACAGGTGCTGTGGTCTAGTGGTATGACGTCACGTTGTGGCCGTGCCAGCCCCGGTTCGATTCCGGGCAGCGCCAATACGAACCAATAACTTTTTTTTGTCTTTTTACCTTTTCCCCCCTTCAGCCATACCCAACGCCATAGTTAGTTTGTTTTCACCCACATACAGTCATCTATAACTTCACATCGCATATCATATCTATACATTCTTTATCAGACACACTGTCCCTATTACAACCCAGAAATTATTACAGTGTCCCCCCAGTCTCACATCAAACCCATTCAAAAGAAACCAACCCCACTCCATCCCCCAGCCCCTACCTACTAGACAGTTAGACACAAGAGACAGTAAGTTCAGTAGTTTAGGTCCCCATTACCCATCCCTAATTCCTAATCGAGAATCATGCATATCCGAGCCTCGCCGAGGTTATCAGTAATAATGACTGGTCTGGTTTCTGGCGCACCCGCTACCAAGCTTTTTAGGGCGTCTTCTTCCCCTCTTATTAGAGGGGGGGGATACTGGGTAGGTAGGTAGGTAGGTAGGCATAGCCGGATGTTGGATGTATGGTATGTATGTATGTATCATGCCAATTAAAGCCAAGAACATGTGTGTTGATTACGGTATGAATACTAGTAGTTTGCCAAGTATACCACTTGAATGGGTATGTAATTTACTTGGTTGTTAATTATCTACTTTGTAAGTATGGGATGGATGGGATGTTGGTTGGTTGGCTTGGCTTGCAGATGATCGAGTGTAGTATGTCTCTGGTATGGTGTGTCGATGTGTGTTTAGTGTGGTGTGGTGTTGGTCATGTTTAGTAGACTCTACCTACTCTGGGAGGTAGTTAGGACAGGACTATAGCCGGGTAAAGTGGTACTGTAGTGCAAACTGCGGAGTATCCCACTTGCGATAACTCTGACCAGTAGTAATACTCACCATGTATTCTACCCCTTTACCACACATACTCTACTGTATGTTACTACTAGGACACCCTAGACTGCGGAGTGACCTCCTCTCCCTGCATACCACCAAACCAGGTAATCCGTGGCAGAAACCAAGAAACTAAAATAGATACGAGATTTACATCTACATCAATCCAGTATATGAATACGACTAGGAATATAGTACTATGAGACATGGGGCGCGGGTGAGTGTAACTCTACCTGGTCACCTATACCAAGCCACTGTTATAGAATTCTCCGTGGTAGATAATGATGCGGTGGCACGGTATCGGCCGCGCCTACTACCCGGATAGGAAACCGATAAGATTGGACTGCATCTGGCATGATGATATATGTATACTATGTAGTATATGTATATTTGTTGATTATACCTCGGGTATCATGCAGTATGCAGTAGGAGGAGTTAGGACGGCGAGCAGGGTTCTTTTCAATAGTGCTGCAACCACTATCTAGCCGTAGTGAGAAAGATGATTGTGGCGTTTTCGAATCATTAGATCGATTGCGCCATTCGTGGAAGATGTATCGCGGTTGGCTAGTTGGTCTTTACAAGCCCTGTGCTGTGTTGCATTGTGGTGAATGACTCAGGGGTTGATATGTTCATGGCGCTCTTGATAAGCATCCAGCTCAACGGGGATCAATTAACCGGAGGTGACGGTGACATGAAGACCTAGGTAGCTAGCTATTTGATCCCAGTTCGGGCCTCTGAAGAGTTGAGCCGAAGTCGCAACCAGTCTACATATGACAGCGCCATACTCCGGATACGTCGGTCAGCCGTCCGGTGCTTGCCAATTGGGAGGTCATATTGGACCAGGTGTCCTGATGCCTTGTCGCGCAGATCCGTGGTAGTTCGTTAGGTGGTACATGGTCCGGTGATTCCATACCACATGCTTTGTTTGCTTCCAACCTGGCCAAATTTAGATGAGGAAGGGGGCTTTAGTGCTAATAATCCACGATAGTGAGTATGCATGGCACAGGGAAATATCTCAACATTGGGAAGTACTTTACCCGAATAACGCCAAGTGATAGATCGCGTTCAGGTCATTCAATGGTATTAACCGCTCATGCATGCAGTGATACCGATGCAACGCCACAATGAGCTGATTAAAAGGTAGTCGATTAAAATTGATGTATGGTTCTAGCCTGCCAGTGGTATACTCATGCACACATCACAGGCAATCTGATTGGCTGGGTTGATTCTAATGCACAATCGGACCGGCATATGCAGCAGAGGCGGTAGCTTAATGTCAGTCAAGCAGGTACATATGTAGTGTTGCCTAGATACGTATCATACAGCCAAGCTGTACATACGTATAAGAGCCAGTGCATCACCCAGGCAAGTGTGCATATAGCCAGTAGAATGTTGGTATTGTGAAGGCCGAGTATAGCCAGCTGCCACCCCCTGTTCTTATGTTCGGTCAGGTTTGCGAAGAGTACAGTGGACCACACGACATACACAATGTTATCTAGTCGAGGAGGTCAAAGATCCAAACCTCGTACACCAAGTACCATCCATAGGCATATGTCTCACCGCAAGTTCTCAGGTGATCGGATAATGCTCCCCATCTGAATATAACCTAACAGGTAGCTTGCTGCGCTGCCCCCATCATGAGGCTACCAAACCAGCAAAATGCAGACACTTAGTATGTTATTTACCTTGGCATGCCCTGTGGCGTCCAAGCAGAAATGTTGTTCTATGCAGGAGCTCGGGAGCATACCTCTGGCTCGGACCCATGAAGTTTGGCTACGAGGTCAGATGGCAGCATTCAATCCCGAGTTGTAATAGACTTTCTCGTCCCCCAAGCCCGAACCGAGTGTTTCCGATATACCCTTGTCTTGGCTTGGTCTAGATGTATTGCTATTGGTTTCAGAGAAACAATCATCGCCTTAATCATGCAGGCGAACTGTCACGGCCGGGGGGAAGAAGGAATGTAGCTGATCGCCAACATCAACATCAACCCGCACCAAGGGGGGCTGGGCGACGGTTCGATTGGCCCACCATGATCAACGCCGCCACCCTTGAGCTTTTCCGATATGTTTGTTTGCTTTACGTCGCAGATGAGTTATGGTTAGTGATCCACTGGCGAGGCTGCCTGGAAGCAGTTGCATATCAGACTGCGGCCCGAGCGGGCCTACGGAGATTCGCGGGATATTCAGTCCGTTGAGGATCTTGCGCGTATTGTCGAGAAGGCTGTGGCCTGAGAGGAGGACCAGTTGTAATGGATAGTTGGGTTGCGGATCTCGCCACGGAGATCAGCCTGACTGTGTCGAAGGGCTGGTCAGTCCGGCCGAATATCAAACAACGTTGATGATTCCGACCAGTGAGAGGGCGCCTGGGCGTAAGGATGACCAAAGGCGATCCAGTAAGTAGATCCAAAGTTGACTGGCCACTGAGCGCACAGACTCACAGTGGCCAAATAGATGATCTCGCAGCAGCAGTACGAGCATCAGCACCAAGCTCTATCCGGAAGTTGAGTCAGGTCAGGCCAACTTCACCGAACCTTGATGTGGTAGTGGCTCCTTGGCCTTTCCAGAAAACTTCAAGTAAGGCGGTAGATAGTTGGAAGTGGGAATCTTTGCTTCTTCAGACACTCTTTTGACTTGTTCGTGGTGAAGATGCAGCCCCGCAGGAGCCCCACGAGGATGAGACCGGGTAAGGCGTATGTATGTATGTATCTACAAAGTATCTACTAATAGGTATAATTTTCTGGTAGTGGAGATTTTGAGTAAGTAGTTTTGGGTCAGGCTGGGAATGAGGCAGTGGGGGTGGGCATGATTTCACATGAAAAAACCAAGACCTTGATTTTCATATGATGGATGATGTTATGGTAAATAGTAATTAAATGAATGGGAGAGAAAATGTTGTTGATGGCTGGTAGTTGGCAGGCCAACCCATATTGAGCTTCCTTCAGTTTTCCCTGCTTGGGGTGGCCCCACTTGCAATATCAACAATCAACAATCAACGAATCTCAACCATCGCAACTCACCAAACGTGCAAAATAGTGGCATAGATTATACAGGAAGAAGGCTACAGAGACCAGTATCATCATCGACTACTACTATGAGCTGTCACACATCTTCTCATAGTTTCCTTGTAGCCGTTTGAACTAACTACGTGACATCTCTTAGAGGATCGCCCTTGTTTCACTTTTCTCCACATGGTCGGTCTCACTTATTCTGCATGCCATCATTCATACTATCGATAAGGTCAAAAACTGGCACCTGTCAATTTAATCATCCAGATACAGAATGGAGATAAACCACAATTGCCCGACCCAACAACAATCAATCATCACCAACCTCATCAAATCAATTTATCTATCTAACAGGGATCTTTGCACCACAATGCTCACGCGTCCTCCTTGGGACTTTCATGCAGTGCTCTCTCTCTCTCTCGCCCCTCCAGGTTGCCAGTGCAACCGCCCGTGTTGACGCTTCAATCCTCATCTCCAGCCCCTCAGTAATTCCAGGCCTCCACTTCAGACTGGACAAAGCTTGCCATGGGTCCGCTAGCGATGACGATGGCTCTAATCAAATCTTTCTTCCGGCGCCTCTAGAGATCGTCTAGAACCGGGTCCGATCGGCCGTAATTGAGATGCAGCCTGTTGTCGCTTTCTTTCCCCTGTCAATATTACTGCCTCCTCGCGCAGCTCTTCCTCCTCACCACTACTCCCTCTATCGCCTGTTTCAAGGTTACTTTTGTCTTTTGATTGCAATCCTCTGGAGACCAAACCTTCAAGGAGAAACTCCAATTGATACAGGTCGTCCCTAACGCTTCGTCTCATGCCGGCCGGTCTGGCCCTCCAGACGCGCCTTCGCTGAGTCGTGCTAACGAGCTAAGGATCGACCGTTGCGCTAGATGCATCGCAGTCAGTCTCAGACTGCCGCATTCTTGTTGACGCATCTTGAAGCTCTGGCTAATCCCCATGGATGAATGCCTCTCGAGAAAACACGGAATGCACCGGGCTGTTGGCGCCCCCGTGGTGCCAACACTCCTTGTCCTCCTGCTCTTCGCCAGCCCGGCTTCCACAGCCGTCCCATACACTCCCTCACAACTCTTCTACTCTTCAACTAGCAATGGGTCGTTTGCCTACCTGCTGCAATCCACCGGTACGAG